AGGCACTTTTCCTCTGCCCGGCAGCTCTGCGGGACCCCAGTCGGAGCCGGCCCGAGGAGGAGAAGGATCCTAGGACCCAGGTGAGCGAGCCCCGGGAATGCTGCTGCGCATGTGCGGGAGTTGCCTCACCCCGTTCGTATCTAGGGATCCGACGTAAGTCGGATCCACGTAAGTCGGGGACTGCCTGTATACAAAATATACCCATTTCAAGAAGTGTCTCGCAGCTCTGCGGGACCCCAGTCGGAGCCGGCCCGAGGAGGAGAAGGATCCTAGGACCCAGGTGAGCGAGCCCCGGGAATGCTGCTGCGCATGTGCGGGAGTTGCCTCACCCCGTTCGTATCTAGGGATCCGACGTAAGTCGGATCCACGTAAGTCGGGGACTGCCTGTATACAAAATATACCCATTTCAAGAAGTGTCTCTTTTCAAGTAACTTCTGAATTTATTAAATTACATATATGTTGACTGGAGCTGTATATTAAAACCTTAAAAGCACCCCTCTAGCTGTTCTGTCATCTAAAGGTTATACACAAACCTTGGTCAACATTCTAACAATGCCATCAATAAGTATATGCCATTTCCCAAACATCTAGGAAGCTGCCTAGTTCTAGTCTTCAATGAGAGGTATTTAAGTGGAACATATATTAGGGCAGTCTTCAGCTTGTAAAATCAGTGCTGATTTATGCAACAGGTGAGGCTATAGCCCAGTAATACATTCTACACTCTAAGTTAATTTTAATGGCAGAAGTGGATGAATGCAGTACAAAAAAGTTACCGTGTAATCATGCAGTCATTATGGAACGTCTTAAAGCATAGGTTTTCAAAAGCTTGTAACTCTTACCAAGCCAAGCTTATTTACCTCTAAATGTCTGCTTATAGTAATCTGATATTAGCAGCAGCAGCCACAATTTTTGTTCAGTCCAAGTTATTCCTTCCTTGTGATTTTCTATGAAAAAGTAACCTTTGACACCCACATCAATTAATAGCTTACCTCACCTGATATCCGTCATCCACAAAAAGAAACAAGATATAATGGTAAAGAAAAATTTAATCTCAATTTCTTTTCAGGTCACTATTCAGGAGGATTGTGTCACCATTACATGTTATCGCACACTGATGTGATTTTGGGAAAATTCATATATTTCAAGCAAGTTAGAGAATTGATTCCAGGCATTTACAATTCACTACTTCAATGTTAGTTTGTGATGTGGGGTTTTTTATAATACTTTATTCAATTCACTCCTAATTTGTCTATTATGTTTGGATGAGTGGTGTTTGATGATCAAGGAACTGAAACAGATGTCTTTTCATCCGGACAACTTGCATGTAGGTGTTTGTCTGAAAAGAAAATCTTACCAGTTCCCTCGCTATTTGACTATTGAGCCACTTTGACTATTAATGCACTAATGATTTAAAAGCAAAAATATAAAACTTTAATGTGTCAAAATGTGAAACAAATGATAGGCAAATTAAAAAAAAATCAAAAATCAAGAAAAACAAAAAAAGCAAAAGTTTAAAAAAAGCAATTTAAGGTAAAGAAAAAAAAGGCCCATATTTTATCAGTTTCCTCTTATATCCCCTTTATGTGTTATAAATTCTTTAGGGCAACGATCTGTCTCAACTTGAATCTGACATACCAATCATGCCTTTGGTTGCTCTATATATTAACAGTCCCATGAAACTTAAGCAGAAGAGACTACACTACAACATACTTCAT